TGCTGCAGACGCACGTTGGCTAGAGCTTGCGCTTCTCGTTCTGCAGACCTTGGCAGTCTGTCCTTTTTTGTTGCAATGGTTGCAGATGTCCCATGTGTGCGGGCACTTCGTTGCAAAGTGACAGTCGCCACAACGATAGCAGCTCACGTGCCTCTTTTGAGGAACTTGAACAGCGTTGATACTCGCTGATGAAGATGCCGCGGCTTTGCCTAGCTCGGTTACGTCACGCTTTGCGGATTCCATAGCTTGTGCGAGCGTAACCACGAACTCCAATGTTGGATTGTGCCCTTTAAGCAGACGAGTTTGTATTTGTTTGTCGTTAATGCCGCAAACAATTCTGTCTCGTAGGAGGTCATTGAGGAATGTGCCGAACTCGCAATGCTCCGATAGCTTCTTCAGTGAGGCTACGTAACTGATCGATTCTCCCTCTTGTCGTACTCGGCTATTAAATTTGAAACGGCTCACCACGACAGACGGTTTCGACGAATAATAGGTGCTCAGCGTTTGTAAGCTGGCCTCCAGTGTCGCTTCCGTCGGCTTCATTGGTGCGAGCAGACTTCGCAGCGTGGAATTCCGTCCGCGATCCGCAACAGCTCAGGAAGACAGCAGGTTGTTTGGTGGCTGGGACTTCGTTTGCTGCGAAGAACTGTTCCATTCGTTCCAGGTACTCTTGCCAGACTTGACTTACGGGGTCGAAAGGCTTCAGTGTACAGTACTTCGGCATCTTGTAAGCAGGTTAAATGCGCGATTTACCCTTCGACGCCAGTTGTTATGAGGTAGTAAATAAGACCGAGACAGGCCACGTCTGATGGTGTTCCAGGCGCATGCTGTACTGCTGCGCCACCGGCGCCCGTGCATTGCACCTTTTTATTTTCTAACGTGCGTGTGTGTCAACGGTGGCGCCTGCTTCTGTATATAGCAATCCTAACAGGGACCCACAGCTTTGGGTGCCCCCAACAGCTTGGGGCGTCCCACTGCGCATGCGGAGAACTTGTGCGGATGCCCACTGCGATGCCCCAGGCTGTTTGGGGTACCCAAAGCTTTGAGGCCCCCTATTCTAAAACTCGCTAATGTGATTCTTGCAACTTAGATTAAAAAATTATAAATACTCGTAGGTACTTAAACTGCGGGACTGGGCTAATCTCAGTATTATTTATTTTATATTTGTACCTGAGAGGATTTTTTTTTGCATGTAATAGTCGTGCGTGTGCACTTGGAGGTATTTAAAGACATTTGACAAGGTTGACATCATCCGGAAATGGCTGCTAGAAAATCGTTTAGAGTTACTTGGTCGCGTGTTGACTGAATATTGAAATACGCAATGAAATCGTCTGCCAAAAAAAAAAAAAAAAGAACGGCCGCGGAAAGATGAGTTGGATTCCAAGTCGTTTAAATAAATTAGGAAGAAAAGTGGACCCAATATGGAGCCTTGAGAGAATCCTCAGAGAACTGCTGGAGGAAAATTGGTCCTGTCTATTTGAACGCAGTGTTGTCTATCTGATAAGTACGAGTCAATCCACAAAAGAATTTGGTCGTTTTTTTGTTTTTTTTAGTAAATGATGAAGTTTTAACATTAAGTTCTAAAAAAACACCCACACACACACAAACACACACACAAAAAAGAAAACGGCATCGATTTGTTTGTTTTTGTCCAAAATTGACAATAATTCGTTACTTGTGTGGGGTAGTTGGGTGTCTGTTGAAAAGCCACGTCGAAAGCCATGCTGGTAACACTAAAAAAAGTTGTCGTTATCGAAAAAGGGTGCTCAGGTGTTTGAGAAACGAAATGCTCCATTACTTTACTTGCAGTACACAACCATGATATTTGCCGATAGTTAGGAACGAGCAACTTATCACCAGATTTATGTATGGAGGTTACTCAAGCAATTTTCCAGTCTTCAGGCACTTCTTCTTTTTGTAAGCTTTTGTTAAAAAACAATATGGAAGTATTTTCCACGCGATTCGGCATACCTGTAAAGAAATGCGTTTGGTATGATCGTCTGGCCCATTCGATTTCTTTGTGCCTAAGTGAAGCAAAACAGAGGAGATTCCCTCCTCACTGATAAACAGGTCTGGCACTTAAATACCAGCGTTTTGAAACTCGGTACCTTGGCCTCTGGTGCGAAGGAACACGGAAGCGAAGGAATCATTAAAGTCTATTGCAACGTAATAGTGATCCGTAATTTCTACGTTGTTCTGCTCTAGTTTTTTAACCGTTTTTTTTTTTTTTGAGCTGCATCCAAAATATTCTCACGTTGTTACAGAGAAAGTTGTGCATTTTAACATTGTATAAGTGTTATTTAGTTAATTATATTTTTGTACGTAGCTCCGTACGTATAGACAGTAATATGCAGTGTCCAGTTCGGGTACACGTGTGTACGAGTTGTCTTGCGCGACATTTTAACAGAAGCATTTTAGTTATTCGTTTTCTTTGGTGAGACACGCGGTTGCGCGCAGCACCTGAAAGACTTCCGTTAAAACGTCTTCGAAGCATGCTTGCTTGCTACATACTTCCAACCGAGTGCTTTGCAGGGAAGTAGACGCACTAGATTTTTTTGAGTGAGTTGAACTCGGCTGGTTGAGCCCATATTACCGCCCCCCGTATACACCGCGCATACGCCGACAGTAAATTTAGTTTTGCTCGGTACAGATTTTCCCCCGGAGCATTGTTAGAGATTCGTTTCTCCGTATCTTAAGTACACCAAAGCTGTCCGAAGTGATTCACTAATGGCATAAAATAAAAATAACGCTCACTGTGCGTTTCGTTCTAGTTTCGTGGATAAAAACAAAATATAATTCAACTGGCGTCGCAAAGTCCGCGATACAAAAAAACCTTGCCCTTCCACATATACACCGGCTCTTCGGGTATTGTTTGACGGAAACAACATAACCATGCGCACATTTCTTCCAGATAAAACGAGGGTACAGATAAAAGGGTGAACTGCCCGATATTAGAAAAAAAACGAGTGATCGTATGTTGTTTTTCCCCAGTACGGAGATATATTTTTCGTTGAAAAGTGCAAGCGATGAAAATAGTTCGACAACAAATAGTCAGTCATTCAGCAGCTGACTGAGCTCGCTTAGTGTGCATTATTTATCTATTTTAAACACACATTTAGACCAGAGTTCGTTAATCTTTAGTCGCATGCACAGGCAACAAATAGGAGTGAACAAAGAAAACGAATACCCAAGATAGGAAACTGATGTTTGAGCGTTTCTTGCTCTCGGTTGACACTGATGTGGTTGGGTCGAGGCATTTCGGAGCCCCTTTTGTTGTAGTTAAAAGTCAATTTTGGCATAAAGACTTTTTCAGCACAAGCATACTCCCCGTTTTCATCCGTTTCACCGTGAATCCCATGTTTAAATTCATGTACTGTCCTGCGGCGAAGCAATTCAACTACTCAAAATCGCGATGTCTATTTCCCGCGGGCGTAGCTCCTCTGCAGTACACCAGTGCACCGTGAGAAGCGCACCCAACGGAGCTAATTTAAACTGCCCGAGAACAGACCACGAGAAATATTACCAACCTTTCGAGTACTGATTCACGTACGACAAAGAGATCAAATCAAATCACACGCAACTATAAGCAATAACTGAAAGTTATGACAATTCGCGCACCGTAACACTAGCAATCCGACCGTGTGTGGCGACGCCTGAGCCAGTTTGGTTTCCGTATTCACAAAGCGACAGGAACTTTCGGCGCTAAATATTTTGGTGAAAATTTCCCTCGCATTTGGGAGAAGTTGCGGGATCGTACACCAGGGTAAAAAGAGCACTTCCAAGCAGTTTAGCACAAATAGTGCGGCAATCACATCACTGCAGTTTGCCGACTTGGGCGAGCTTTAGCCTTTCAACAAAACTCGTGTGACCCGCGTTAGGAACGAAAAAGCTCAACAACGATGTCATTGACGACTAGAATCGCGCAAAAACCTTGCGAGCTATGTTTATTTTTTGTTTTCGGGTTCTGCTTGCCGCTATCTTTGACTGGCGAGGGGGGGGGGGGGGGGGGGGGGGGGCGCGTTCTGAGCATGCGCGCAAGCTCTCTTCTACAAAATATCAGACGCGGCCGCCGCATGTGTACCCAGCCCTCGGCATATTTTGCCTTGTGATAAGCCTTTGTAAAGGTGTGGATACCATTAAAGTGATCGCATACTGCGCGCCGTGCCACCATCTCCCCCCCACTCTCTCCTATCATTTACAGGATAGAGCAGAGCACTATTGTGTTACACATAATGATAGACCGCGCACAAATAGACAAAACAGACGAGGTAAGAAGAGAACGGAACAGAAGCGCGTTGTTATGTTTAATGCATACAAACTAGGCTACTAGCCCAGCTTAGTACCTTTCTAAACTATTGTACTTCATGCAGGAGCAGATGTAGTGTTATGCAGAGTTAGACAACCATATATCACACAATGCGACACAGGAGGGAAAAGGGGACAGGTAAACAATAGATGAAAATATGTATTTATACACAAACCAAAAGTTACACGAAACAATATAAAATACCAGATATAATACAGTGAAAAAAAAAAAGGGGGGAGCGAAGAAGGTGAAAAAAAAAGTAAAAGCACAAAACCAAAGGTACACATTCAAATGACGCTCGATTGATTCAAGTACATTGTCTGAAGTAAATATATGAGGAGACAGGTAGTTCTGCTAGAGTTCTGGGAAAGTAATATTATTTAAAAGCATTTGCGCTAGCGAATACAGGAGTTATTTTGGCGGGATGGGCATGTCCAGTGTGGTGTCGAAGACGGTTTGAAGTAGGGTGATGATTCAAGTTGAAGTTTGTCGTTCCAAAGTTGATAAATAACTTTCCATCTAGCTAGCTTCCTTCAGGCTGTGGGATGCAATCTAAGCATGCACACCGACTCGGCATTTTTTGCCTGGATGACAAGTGCTGGAAAGGTGCACGCGCTATTTTAATAGATAAAACCACGAGGTATTCGACAAACAGGCAATCCCTCTCTCGTCTTTTTCTTTGTCCCCGCTACAGTCGCTTCAGAAAAGAGTACGAGTAGGAGGTGCTACGGAGAGCTGGGTTGCTTCGAGAACGGCGGCGTCTTCTACCACTCGGTCTACCGACCGATAAACTTCTTCCCAAACGAGCGAAGCGAGGTGAACACGCAGTTCCTGCTCTTCACGAGGGACAACCCGGTCCAGGAGGACCCTCTGTCCTGGAAGTCCCCTCTGGAGGACATAAGGGAGTCCCACTTTAACGCCAGCAGGGAGACCAAGATGATCACCCACGGCTGGCTGGACACCATCTTCTTCGGAGCGTGGATGAAGGTGATAAGTTGAGGCATCCGTAGTACTATGGTGCCTGAAGCGCGTCTCCAACTGGTGTTTTCACAATGTACTCAAAAAGGGGACCCTTGATTTCCATTTATGATATCTTAGAAGAGACCCGCTGTTGTCTGCCACGATCCTAGCGGCGGCACAGTAGTGGATGTCAATGCGTCAGACGCGTGTTCTATTGCAGGTCGCAGTCCAGCTCGAGAGTCCGCGGAACATGGAGGTAGGAAGGTTCTGGAGGCGACATGAGGCCACCAGAGGTGAAGCCAGAAGGAAGGTCACCAGAGGTGAAGCCAGAAAGGACGCTATTGGACGAAAAGGAGGGCAGACTTGGCGCCAACAGCCGCTTTGGTCACCCTCGGGGCCCCGCGAGTCTCCGAGGGTGACCGAAACGACTGTTGGCGCCATGCCACGGAAGCTCCAGCAGGCAGGAGTTGGGACGCCCACCGCGACAACAGCGCCCCTTACGTCCGCTCACATTCTGCACCAGCATTTCTACGACAAACCACCAGGAGCGCGACGTCCCACAGCTTGATACGCCTGCACCTTGTGACGCAATTTGTTGCCACCTCGGGACCGTTTTCAACGCGTGGGCGAGATAGGACGCAGTAAACACGCCAGTCGAAGACGCGTTCCAGGAACAGGAACCGCACTACGGAGCCTATAGAACGCGTCTTCGACAAACGTGTTTACGGTCCTATCCCGCCCGTACATCGAAATTGAGCCCGAAGTGGTGACAAATAACGTCACAGAAGCTGCCATGCTGTCGGATGTCGCGATCCTGGTGGCTGGTCGTATAAGTGATAGCACGAAAAGCGAGCGGACGCGAGGGTCGCTGTCATCGCGGCGGCGCCGCAACTCGTGTCTGGTTTGGTTTCCGTGGACTGTCTAACTGCAGAGCGACCCGCTGTATCAGGCATGTGTCGCATCCGCCTCCGCCGCTCATATATACCGCCGCCAGGATCGCGACAAGCCACAGCATAACAGCGCATGAAACTTTTAATGACATCACCAGGTAGAAATCGAGGGACCTCATTTGAGCACGCGATAGAGACACCTGTCGGAGGCGCGTGTTCGGGCACCACCCTGTATACCGTCACCGTCGTTTTCTTGCTCTGGTAAGAACTGAAGCACGATCTTCGTATGAATCGACATTTTATCTTTTGCCCCAGGACATGAAGACAGCGTTCCTGCTGGTCGGAGATTACAACGTGATCATCGTGGACTGGAGAGGAGGAAACGGCCTTCCTTACACGCAAGCCACTGCTAACACTCGGCTCGTCGGAGCCGAGATAAGTCTAATGATTGAGAAGCTGGAGGTATGTCCCAACGAACGATTGGGATAATCACCTGGCTTGTTATATACACGCTTCTTGCTTTGTCTTATCAGCATTCTTATCGAGAAAGGCCAGTGTCTCAGTGTCGGCAGAGTGATAATAAAATGTTCGGGACTCACCACTCTGCGTTTCTTAAAGGAAAGATGAAACACTTCTTGAAAAAAAACGGTTTAGGGATAAATTTTGGCGTATTTTTATCCGGAGAATCTGAATATCAGGTTCGTTTTCTCCGAAGATGTATCTAAACGCGAGAAAACACGAAAAACCTCCGACCAGTCGTGACGCTAAACGAAGATATTTGAGCCGCCAAGCAAGTGTCGCTCGTGTGGTCAGCGCGAGCTATTGCGAGCTTCCCAGTGTATTTTTCTGTACTGACGCCAGTCGTGACGTCTATATCTGACCTTTCTGAAAATAGCAAGAGTGCGCGTGCACAGCTTTGGTAGGCGCCGTAGAGGTTCGAGAGCAGGGATTCCAAAAACTCCTAATATGACGTCACGCCCGAGGAAGGAGGGGCTTCGGCGGTATTTTAAAAATTACTTTCTGCAGTTTCCGTGCACCAATTTCAAAAATGACATCCATATTTGTGTTTGTGATACTGGAGGTCAAATGAAGACGATTTCGGTATTTTTCCTTAAATACAGAACCGTTTCAGTTTCCGTTTAAGCTATCAGTGGGATTACTAGCTCCGGGAATTTATTTTCGCATTTATTTATCTCAAGCTCAAGAAACTAGAAACAGCGTAAAGATGGAAAAAAGACAAAAAGTTAAGTTTCCGAATGCTTAACCAACTCGTCCAAATTTCAACAACACTACAATTTCTTAATCCTATAAGTTGGTCGTAGCTCCGTGATGTTGCCTTAATCTTAGATTAAAGTGAGCGAAGCTTTAAAAAAAGAAGAAGAAAAAAAAGAAAACGCAGTTCGTTTAAACAACCGATGCTTGCCCGCGTACGATACTTTCCTATATCGATGTCTCTTTGCTTCGGAAATAAGTTCATAATCGAGAAAATGTCGTGTTCTTTTGAAAGTCTGCCGATAATGTCGACTTTGTAGACTAGCGAAATTAAGGCCCTATAAACTCTACTGACTTTATTTATTTCCAATCTCTCCACTAGCCTCATTTATTTTCTCTCTCTAAGGTTCTCTAGCGTCGACTCAGAAATTCTTATCTCGCAGACAGTCTTCGGCGCGGATCCACGGACTTTTCACATCTTGGGACACAGCCTCGGAAGCCATGCGGCTGGTTATGCCGGCGAGAGGTTGAAACGGCTCGGCAGGATCACCGGTAAGACATATATGTGCTATCTCTAGCCAGTAAGGTTTATCAATAGAGGGTACAACAAAATTATTACTGCTACATAAATAACGCTGAGACGCGCCAAGAAAAAACGAAGGCAACACAATGGCTCAACAGGCAGACATTTCTGAAACTAAACGATGATGTCATTAATGCTGAGGCTTGGATGGCAAAGAGTAAAGGATGAAAGAAGTGTCTACTTTTAGACTTAAAATACAGGCAGGTAGGTGATTCTTAATATATTGCACAAAACCTTCACACACTAATTTTTTTACAACCTTAAGGGTGTAGAAACAGTGTTTCAGAGACCTACACCCTTACACCCAAGGTTCTTTGTGCACCCCTATTTCGAGTAATACACCCTATATAAACATAAAATACAATGCCATTGCATAGAACAGAGTTTATTTCTGAAGGGTGTAAAAAGTTATGGAAAAACATGCTGCCGCGGAAAAGGGTGTAGACGACCGACCTTTCAAACAGCTTTAGAGGGGTCGTTTTAGCGAATATATTTAGTAAGCATTATACCGATGCTTTTGTTTTGGAGATACAATTTTGGCCCTCTTGGATTCATGACTTACGAGACATTTTGACGACAAGTAACGTACTTGTAACATTTGTAATTGCGTACACGGTCGCATGCGAATGGATACATTTCAATTGTCGATTATATGAGGCGGTGGAGCAATCAACAGGTTTGTAATTCGTCTTGTACTGTACAATTCTTACTGCCCTTCAAGAAGCCAGGCAGGTGGCGTTCTATATTCTTAACTCTACAATCGTTGTCTATACTCAATTGTTTATTTGACATGTTTAACTGGTGCCTGTCATGCATTGTTATTCTCTGTTTAATGATAGTCTGTCATTAAAGAAAAAAACAAGGTCCGTATTTACCGGGCTTATGTGCATATACAACCGTGTCCGGTGCTTGTAAACTTGCTGATGGTACAAAAATATCCATAGGATACTGCTAAGATCGACGGCACCCCAAGGTTGGTGTAACACCCTTAGGGTATTTTTTCTGGGTCTGGGAGCTCTTTACAAGGTAAACTTTATCTTCCTTTTCTGCTCGCTAATTCCTCGTCAACCTTTTATTTAGCTTAACATTCGCCATGTTTTACAATTTAAGAATAAGCTTAGTGTCAATCGTTTCGTTTCAAAAACAACGTGATAAGAAAAACAAGCGCTTTGAGACTCCATCGCCCGCAGGTATGGACCCGGCTGAACCATACTTCGAGAAAATGCCCAAGGAAGTGCGAATCGATCCGACGGACGCCGACTTTGTCGACATTGTTCACACCGATGGAGCTTCGTTCTTCCCTGATGTCTGTAAGCATTTGCATAAAGCACGCTTTTCTTCCGCTTTTTTTTTTACCGCCTTTTAGTGGTGCTTATGACCGCTTGGCTTTACATTAAAACAGTTACACAATCCGTAATGCAGAACATCTGGGCAGACGATCAAATGACTTCTGACAACGGATTCCTTGTCGGAAACATCCACAATAGACCACTTTCAGAAGTCCATCAAGCAACATTGGCGGTCGCCATTTCTCGGGCACCAAGCGTGTGATTGGATCCGAGTCCTCGCCGAGCGCTGACGTCACACTCGTGTCCAATACATGTTTGGAGTACGTGCCCGAAACAATGACCGACTCGGGTGATTGGCGCAGCGGCTACCAGATGGCGCCAAATGTCGAAAAGTGTCTCTTATGAACGTAAGCGGTATGTTCTCGGTGCGTCTGCATCACGTATGCCACGTTTTCAAACAACCAGAAGATCAGTTAGTTTTAAATCGCGCATTAATTAAGCACAAACAGTGTTTATAAATACTCTCGCAGAAAGATGCTGTGTTCTTATTTTAGAGCCAGGCATAGCAATCACTGTACCCTGTTTTATTGCGATTATCATTCTTTTGAAAGTATAAAAACAACGATATTTTCACTCACAGTTTTGGTTTATAAGTATTCGTCTTTACGTCCTCGGCGTTTTTTTATTTTTTTAACTTTTATTTTTATAATTTTATTTCAGACAATCAACTGGTGTATTTAAATACTTGAGCGTGTTGGTGATCTACATTGACTTAAAACGAAAGAAACACACAAGAAACACAAGAGAAACACACAAAAGTCGTCTGTTTTGTCCTCTTGTGTGTTTGTTTCGTTTTAAGCCAAAACTGGTTTATGTTCATACAAACATAAGCCAATCTGTACGTGCTTTCATTTTACCCGCATTCCGTGTCTTTGGCAATAATTTGCAGAGTTTTGAACTAGCTAAGATTGGACTACTGTCCATTAATACTAGTGTCTGTAACTTTGCGTGATATCGCAGTGAAGGGAGAAGGTCTCGGCTTGTACGACCCCGTGGGACACGTGGACTTTTACCCCAACGGGGGTGTCAAGATGCCGGGCTGCGACTTGGGGTCAAGAATCTTCAAATTCGTCACCGAAGGACTAGTGGGTGGTGAGGTCACATTGTCTTCATTCACGCGTCTATAAAAAACTATATAATCTGTTGCAGGTAAAGAAAAGGAGGACAAGGCTTTCCCACAAAGATCTCTGTTCTTTGCGGCAGGCCTTGTCTCTGCTACAAGTTACGTGAAAAAGAAACTCTTCAACTTCAAAGTTTCTTGTTTTTTTTTTTCCCCTCACCACAGTCCCGGCTTTTAAACATCATGATTAACTATCACCAGTTCGCCTGCACACTAACTGTCTTTTCAGTAATGATACCACAGATCGCAGACACGGCGAATTCGCGTTTCACGGCGCGAAACGTAGGCTGGAATTCGCTGTGAATTCCCGCGGGGCACGGTAGCAGAACGCGGACGCAGCGCATTCGCGCTTCGCCATTGCGATATACACGCAAGAACCCCCTACAAACTCGAGCATTACGGAAAGAGATAACTCGCGCGAAAATCGCAGACAAAAAAAAAAAAATAAGAACGCGTGAACGAGTTAGGAATTTGCATGTCACGGGAACAAATAACAGAGATTGCGGACGCTACAGGTTCGCGCGTGACGGTGCGATAAGCACGAGATAATCCGCGGCAAACACGCTTGCCACACGTCTACCGATATCACAAATCATGCGGTTGATGTGTTTCCCGTCGGACATCGCACATCGCGTGATCGATATCTGGCGCGAATCGGGTGACGGAGGGCTTGATGTTTTGGCATCTTTATGTTACGAATATTATGTCCAAAAAACGGGATGCGTGATTTCTGGGAAAGGGAGGGAGAGGGGGGGGGTTCATACGAGACTACACAGTGTACGCGATTTAATCCGTGCGGTATTTCGAATGCTCACCGCCACTGTGCCAAAAGCAAAATAAAAACAACGAACTGATGCCTTAGTATACTTTTGACGAAACCGCCTACGCGTGTCCCATTTTCGGAGATCAGACGCACTGTTTCTGGTTGAGCTAAGAAAAACCTTAAAAAAAAAAAAAAAATTGTCGGCGAGCTTTTCTCTGCATCCGCCCAAAGGTCGGTGAGCTCTTCTCCGCATCTGCCGGTTTTGCGGTAAGCTTTTCTCCGGTGAGCTTTTCTCCGCCGCCCGGTAGAGCTGTGGCACTGACTGCACAAAGCAATGCGCCCAAACTGTTTTGAAGGCATTGGTATGGGGAACGGAAATAGGCACTCGACTTTTATTGTGCGTTGTTCCTATTCGTTCAAATACGGTATGATTTCTGAAGAACTAAAACATTTAATTTTCCTCGTGTTCGAAGCGGACGACTTAAACAACCAACTCGCGCGGTTCTCCCTCGGGCTGCTGGCGCTTGACGGCATATCATTCAACACGAGACCATGCAACGAAACGGGACATTGTCTCTTTACTTAGTCCGGAATAAATTATGATCATTCTCGTTTGAGGAAACTAAGCACTTGGGGCCTGTTTTCATCAAACTGCTTCCATAACATTGGTTCAGAATGATCGAAACGAACACAACACAGTAAACTACTATGACCAGTAAAGAAGAGTACTTCAATAGATATAGCGTAAAAAACCTTTTTTTTTGCTAGTTTTGGCGCCACATTTGCGCTTGAGAGCAGGATGGCGCAGCGAACATGGATTGGCGCACAATGGAACCTTCACTGCAGCAACCGCTACACACCTTCCGTCGTGCTTTGACTGCACGCGCACGCTCGAAGTGCACGAGACCTTGTCAGTGACTATACGGAGCGCAAGTTCGTCTGCTTCCTTTACAGGGGTTGTGGTGGCTTCAGAACGCTGTGCTCTGATTGGCTCTGATTGAACGATAGTGGATAGATTTCAAGGTTGCTTCCTTTGAAGTCTACTCACTATCCTTCAATCACAGTCAATCAGAGCTCGGCATTCTGACGTCACCACAACCCCTGCAAAAAAAGCAGACGAACTTGCGCTCCACATAGTGTCTTTCAGGAGGTCACAGAAAGTGTTCAGTGTAGAGAAGGTTCAACTGGCAACACCTATCTACCTTTTTTTTGTTTTCTTCCACCCTCTCCCCTGAAGAGGAACAATCAAGTTGACGCTTAAAACAGAAATCCTTACGCTTCCAAGATAAACACCGATGTGGCGGCGCCCGCAGGTGCCCGCGCCATGGGGATCTGCCACCACCAGCGTGCCATCGACTACGTCATCGAGTCCATCACGAACAAGCAGTGCTCGTCGCTGGCCTTCGAGTGTTCGACGCACGAGATGTTCCACAAGGGACGCTGCTCCGACTGCGGCAGCGACGGCTCGCGCTGCGCCCAGATGGGCTTTTGGGCAGACCAATGGAAGCGCTTCAAGAACGACTCCAGGACGAGACGGATGTTCCTGGACACCAACGCTGACGAGCCGTTCTGTGGTACGAACTGCCTCCGTGTAACCGTGCACCCTAAAGCCGTAATCACACTGCTCACACCTCGTACAAAAGACACGGTGTTCAAAACGCGCTTGCTTCAAACATATGCAGTGTTGGGTGAAGTACATCTAAAAGTACTTGAGGTGAAATACTATCAGGCAAAAATGAAATGCGGTACAGGCTGCGCCACCTGGAAGGGAGCTTAGGTGCGAGGGTGCGAGGCCTACTCCGATGTGCTTACGCCCTTCGCTCGGCGCTCCCCAACCTTCGGCGTTGCGCCTCTGCGCTAAAAGCTATCACCGCCATCTTTGCTCGCTCGGCGCGTGCGGCGCGAGGAAGCTCGCCGCTAGTTGCAGCTAAAGCGCGCGCTGGCTGAGCGCGCGCTTTAGCTGGCTGAGCGCGCTTTAGCTGGCTGAGCGCGCCCAGAAAGTAGCCAGCGTAAGCTCAAATCAGATACAATGCACTTTCAATTTGAACTAGAAGATTCTCTTCCAAGCGTCCGTTAAAATAACTCCACCCAATTTAAGTCTGCCCTCTACATACACAGAAAGCACCCGATTAGTTACCAAGATTTTACAGACCAGTGTTTTTCTCGAACGGTTCAAATCAGATTCGTCGGTAATTTCATATCAGATTAGACTGATATACACCAAATCTCCAGGAAGTTCACTCAATCTGCATATTTTTGGTACAAAACTTGCCATATATTTCGATGTCCGTGACGCTCAATATCTCCTTAAAGTCGGTTTCACCTGCATTAAAAACTACACCTTTTCAGGGATTTTAGGTTCTCTGCAATGTTCCTAAGGGCGCACCAATGAACAATCTGCACGTTGGTATTTTTAGGTGCTTCTGAACGATCGTTGGTGCCCATAAGGTTCATCCCAAAAGTTGGCTTCGCCTCAGTCATCAGTTTGCCCATTTTCCCAGATCACAGCTTATCTGCAGTGTTCCTAAGAGCATCAATGCGCAAGCGCTAAGTTGTGCACATTGGTGCTACTGGTAATCGCTAAACAAATCAAATTAAATTTCATTGAGTCTGATCATGCTGTCAGTGTGAAAGGGCTTTCTATTTCTAGAATGGCTAAAAAAATACAGCTCAGAATGTTCTTTTTAGGTCTAACCATATTTTCAATTTCGTCATTCGCTAACCACCCGCCGCGAATCTCAGCGATTGGGTCGTCCAATGGCTTTGTGGGAAGGCGGACGCACCGGATTTCTTAGATAACATCTACTGGTTACCTCGAGAAGAAAAAAAAAAACTGCCAATATTACATTATCGTCGAATGTATTTTCTTGGAGTTGCAGAGAACAACCGATCACTGATTGGCCACCGAGGGTTCAAGAGGCCCAGATCGTGGCACGTCCCCGAGTATCTTCTTGTCGCTCAGCCAATGGTATTGTGGTATCAGCAGATAAGAACACCAAAGAAGCAATCACGAAGCAAAAGGAGCGCACATGATAAGCTAGAGGAAGGTATTCGATATATTTCTACGTTGCCCCTGCTTCCTACGAAGGCAGAAGAGCACGAAGACCAAAGTGGCTGAGTTATATGACTCATATGAGCAGGGTTCCGTGTTTCCGGTAATTACCGCTGAACCCCGATAAATAAACACCGAAGTGGTTTTCTTAGAATCAGAGAAATATACCGAAAAATACCAAATTAAAACTGCCCCTAAAAAACAAAAAAAAAAAAACTTTTGTTTTGGGAAAATAAAAATGTATCAGCAACATATGCTGCTTTTTTGTGTGTGCGTGTGCTTGTGTGCGCGTGTGTGTGTGTGTGTGAGCCTGTACACTGCTCGTACTAACTTACTTTCCTGGAGGTTACTTCTTTCTTTGGAAACAGCGTCCCGTGCCCCTTCCCCTTCTGGTCTCTGTATCGGAATGACGTTTTTCAGGTATTTGAGTTGCGGGCGTAAATTTCATGAACCCTGGAAGAAAAGAGAACACGGGGGGGGGGGGGGGATTTGGGGTCACACATTTATGAACATGCAGTTGTTTTATAACATAAGACCCGATTTCTTGCCTGGTACTGAAAATAAACGATGAAAAACATGGAATAAAACAAACGAAAAAAAAAGTCGTAATTTTTCTCACACCATGTGCGAAGGAACGACAGCGATAGCTGCAGGCAGTGCGGGTGGAATGGCGCCGTCACGTACTTGAGGAAGGAGCTGCGACGTGGTTAATTCTCATAGCCGTCGTGGATGGCGTCGTGGATGCCACTGACGAGAGCAACCAGTGCTCCGTGATCTGTTAAGTGAGGGGGTATGCGCGGTGTAAGTTTCTAAAACCATCCAACATTACGCGTAGCAACCGTGGGTGCTGCCAAAGTGGGATTTTGCATAATGCGAGTAATGTTTGAAAACAAGTCTTGCAAGCAGACGACACGAAGATTCTCCCTTCCTCGCACCATTCTTGGCGGGACGCCAGGGCTGCCCTCTTCTCTCTCTTTGCGCGGCACGGCCGACGGGAAGTTCCGACTTCCCTCTCCTCGCGCCAAGTGGGGGGAGAAAAAAAAAAAAGATTTTTCCATTCTTTGCGCGCGCGGCGACGACAACCTACGAGGATGAGATCTCCGCAATGTGTGCTTTAAAACACGTCCGAACTTGACGAACAATTAACCCCGAAAATACGAAACCCTACTTATCACACCCCTAACAACAAAACAAACGCCCCTATATATAATTATATAAAAAAAAACGCGATTGTTTTATTTTTATTTTTTTTCTGACAGCTTATCACTACCTCGTGAACGTCCAGATGTCCAAGGACTCTCGCTCGTCGCCGGTCACCGGAAATTTCTTTCTCACCTTGGAAGGCAGCAAGGGGGAAGCGACTGTCAAGGTAAACCGCAGGTTAGTATTTCTTTTTTTCTGTTTCGCTTCCGCGATTATTTTCCATGTACTCGTTGTGGACGAATATACTTTCCCACCTGTTACGATATCTTTTCCGATTTTTAACTCCCAGTAATCATTTCACGCGACCTATAAAAGTGCGCGGTCTGGGCCTTACGGAGAACCAAAGCCATCACACGTCCTCAGTTTAGGCGACTCTAATCCTGTCCAACGTATCACGTTTGATACGTTTTAGAACTATTTATGACGTATCAAACCTGCAACCAGTTTTTGATACGTCATACATGCATCAAAACTGGCTGCATGGTCTTTTAATCTAGATTTCACGTTCCCTTTTTGTACTTACACCTCATTCAAATTTTAGGAGAGACAACAAGCAAAGTGGTCATCAAGTGCAGGACGCAGGAATGTGAGGCGCTTCAGCATACCCGACAACGATCAGAATAGTAGTTAAATTTTTTGGTAATGACGCATGAATGCATAATTAAGGCTTCGGGAAAACCCCGAGAAACAAGTATGTATGACACTGTCAATTTAAGAAACATAGGGCTAATGTCGTGCCTAAGTCAATGAGATTCCGACATGCAGTGGCGGCAATATTGCTCGCAGGACCGAAGAGCTGTACCCAGGCGCCAAGTACACGTTTCTGGTCACCACGCCCAGCAGGGTCGGGGTCATCAAGAAGGCGTCCTTCAAGTACAAGACGGACAAAATTTTTTTCAAGTCCCGGATGTTCCTGAAGCACGTCGAGATCCTCCCGATGAACAAGCCCACACGGAGAACGTGAGAACCCTTAAGTTGTTTGTTTGCTTGTTTCTAGAAAGTCCAAAGTGTTCGAAAAAAAAACTGATCTGCTATCGTTCTGGCTCCACAGCTGACCTTGATATTTGTTTTAGTGACTAATTTTTGCTCACCGTTTAAAGGTGCCCCGTGGAGGTATTTGAGATCGCCTAAAGCGCCGTTCACACATATCGAGTACGACCGAGAGAGACCAGACCGGTTTTTAAGCCTCTTGCGATCTCTTAGGACCAGCTCCGCTGTAGCGCAATCGGTCCTAAGAAGTCGCAAGAGGCTTAAAAACCGGTCACGCATATGCAACCGAGTAAGACCGAGAGAGACCAGACCGGTTTTTAAGCCTCTTGCGATCTCTTAGGACCAGCTCCGCTGTAGCGCATCCGGTCCTAAGAAGTCGCAAGAAGCTTAAAAACCCTTAAAAACCGGTCTGGTCTCTCTCGGTCGTTCTCGGTTGCAAGAGTGTGAACGGGCCTTTAGAGGCCGGTCTGGTCTCTGTCGGTCGTACTCCGTTGCAAGAGTGTGAACGGAGCTTGACTCACTCTGCTGGCTCTAAGCATCCTAGAAATCCCTAAATCATGACGATACGCGACCGCGATTTCCTTATAAAAAAGTAGTCAAAGATCGCAACACACCAATGTCATCTCTGGCGATGAAAGGACCATGTTCCGAAACCAGGACTACTGCAAGCGAAGGATCCTCGCGCTTCCGACCGGTGGAACCCCGGAGTGATAACTCCAATGCGCGCGGCTCGTTGCCCATACAGCCCAGACTACGATTCAACCTGCAGCGAGCACGCGCCGAAGAGCTAACAACCAGACACGTCACTCCCGAAAAAAAATAAAAGTGCGTTTTTCTTAGGCGATTATTGCAGTGTTACGCTCCCTCTCCGTAAAAAAATTGGCATTTTTCGATTCCTCTTATTTGCTTTTGTCATCTACAAAAGCTCACACATTTTGTAATAGCAGGGTTTGCAATCTCAACAAAATGCCGCGTTTTCATTGGTCACATGTCCTAGCTGCCGGAACAATGTTCCTCTCATCGTTTTAGATTACCTCGGTGCATTCGATCTTTGATTGTTTTTTAATAGCGAAATCGGCTGTGAATCGTTATGCTTTATAGAATTCCAGGGTGCTTAGAGCCCACAGAATGAGTTATCGCCATATTTAAGCGATCTCAGAAACTTCCTCAGGCCACATTTAATGAATACTGGATTAAAGTTCCGATGTAGGCGAGTTGGTTGATGGTTGATCGCAATGTTGGCTTTCTTTTTTTTTTTTTTTTTTTTTTTGCGCTTTGTTTAATTTTAGTTAGATGCTGGATTACATATATTGATGTATACAGCCTGATTACATACATGAGCCCATATGTATTTAAATTATAATGGCAGTAATGATACTCGTAAGCACACAGAAAAAAGTTTGTCTGATTGATTGATTGATATAATGTCGACATACCGGACATACTGTGCGACTCTCAAACTGCTCATTTGATCTGGGAAGCTCCGCCTTCGTTACAACTAATAGCCCAATATAATCCCATGGGCGTTTATCAAGCATGGACATTTCTGCAATCGGTGCTGGTAAAAATATTAAAGTTTCAACGGGGCTTGCTACGCTTTTTTTTACCGCTCTATGATTACGTGACATTGACAGTGATGTGAATGGCTGATGTCATTTTGGAGCACCCTAAAGTTCAGTTTGGAGCACCAAAAACAACCTTAGAACAACTGTGAATTCCGTTCCCATTTAATCTACAGTGAATAACATGTTTAAAAAAAAGTCGAGTATTCCCCCGTCAAATAAAAATACAGTGACTTTTTTGCTGTCACACTGATTTGTAGCTGCTAATGGATTCCTTGCAATGTAATTTTCCCAAACACTCAAATAGCGGTGCAGTCCTGCTTGCACCAGACATGGAAACAAAATATTCTTACAGTATGTATGCTTTTGTTCTCTAGCAGCAGCTGCATCTTTTTTTTTTTCTTTTTTTAATTTTGAAAGTTGCAATAATAATGCGATTTTTATTTCACCTAAACGAAGCTTTCCTCTTTTAGCACACCAACGACCCTTTGCTTGTGAATAGCGTTATGGTTATGCCCAATTTCTATTAGGCAATCAACATGTTTACTTAAACAAAATCCAGTAGATTCCGTGCGTCCATTTATCCGTAGCCAAAGCTAGTCTAGTTTTAATTGAAACTACTCATTGAGTGACATGTAATCTCAAAGAGTCAAAACCCTACGAGAGGTAAAAAGAAAACGAGGGATTTCAAATAACTAATAAACCTAAAAAAAACACATGTATCAACCCTCTCGGTGTACATAAATATTTTTTTATTAAGTCTCAAACCTGAGGAAACAATCACGACCCAACCAATGATGTTCGCAGCTATTCAGGGCATTGCAGTCGTGCATAATAATCTTGTTTTTTTTTTGTTTTTTTTTACTACTTTTCTGCTATGTTGCATTGCCATGTCAACATGCGGCACACTCCAATCTTCTCCTATTTTTTTTTTTAATAACAAATTTTAAAGGGTTTTTTTTTTTTTTTTTTTGAGAACACATTTGTGTTGCAACGAAGCACAGCGCGCAGAATCGCTGTGCCCACACTATACTTGCTTCTCCGCAGTACACCAAAGCATATTAAGAAGCGCACTTGCCAGACGAGTTGGAGAACTTCCGACAGCTATCGTGTTTGATACAAATTTCTAATCGAACAGCACAACCGATATTACAAATCGTTCAAAATGGGCACCTCACATATTGTAAGGATCCGGCAATGTATATAGCGTGATATGAATTAGTAGGGGACATATAAATCACCAAATTGAGCTTTTGGTGACGCGTTGGCGCAAATTCGTCACATTTTGGTGAATTGCAGCATTATGTAGAAGACTAGCACGGTGAACCCATTGGCGCCGTATGACCCAATTGGCGCAGCGATCGAAGTAAAAAAGAATATCGCCGTCTTTGTTTCGTTTCGATACTGCAGTGATATCTGACGGTTATCAACCCTGTTATGACTGCATCACACTCGAGAGGCTAGCTTACGATGGCCCCTGGATAATAGTCATCCCGTCTATAATTAACGTCCTGCCCTCCGTTCCAAAAAAAGAAAACGTTATCCTAATGCCAGAAACTCGAGCAATTCCCTTCCCTGGAATCTGTTCCGTTGGCCGATGGATAACAGGTGCTCTGCTTTGCTTCTTCCAGGAAAATGTTCTGTTGTCGATGGACGATATATCATAATCTTGATCGTCTGTGGTGCGATAAACGACGTAACCTGGAGCCTTGCTCCCGCTCGGAGCCAGAATAGCGGTCAATCTACGTTTAATTAAAAAAATCTCGCATCTTTTTTTTTTCTTTTTTTTTTTATTACAAGATGGCGATACGAACTGTTTCGTTCTATGGTTTCACCAAGCTACGTAGCGGCACTCCGCTCCCCGATTTGCCCGTGGGCTTGCCATTTTGGTGCTTAGCGCAGAGCGGGCACAATGGGCCCTTTTCAAAAGACCATCAAGCAACATTGGCGGTCGCCATTGCTTGGGCACGAAGCGCGTGATTGGATGCGGGTCTTCGCCGAACAGTGACGTCACACTCGTGTCCAATACGTGCTCGGAGTACGTGATCAAGCAATGGCAGACAGGCGAAGGCGCGGGCTCTTGAAAAGGGTCGATTGACGACCATTGCGATTCCGAAATGCGTCGCCCTCACTTTCAAATGTGGTACCAGGAAGCTTGGGCGATATTGTTTTGCTCTGTCGCGTACTGTTTCAAAACTTCTGGACAAAAAACAGCTTTCTACGAGTTCAGATAGAGCTTCGGACAACTGACAACAATGATTTTTGAGCACCAAGCTGGCCGAACGGTGTTACTCCAAAGTGTGGTTGAATTAGTAGTTCTGGTTTTCGCTTGGCTTCCCTCTACAGACTTTGCAGCAGGTCCCCGCAGAACTGATAAACACACGGCACGCTAATCGCGAACTACAAATGTGGTTTGTTTATTTATTTACACGCCCTCAGGGCTATCGTCATTATAGACCGACGCGCTGTTTACAAACAAGCCCGCGTTTGCCCACACCGGGTGTGGGCACTGCGCGTGCGCAGAAACGGAATTCGCGAAATGTGAAGCGTCTGCGCATGCGCAGTGCCGTCGACAGCGCCACCGCAGCTGCGTGACGTCAGGGCCGCGCGTTGGTCTATAGAGGGGAGTGAAAACAACAATAAAACAACAAAAGGCAAAGAGGAAAGTTTCAAAGTAGAAGAAAAATGAACAGTCGAGGATTTCCTGCCTCAGTCCCTGGCTAAGAACAAAATGGTTAACAAAAGGTAGTAATTTTCAGTTTCAAGTTTCTTTATTTTTTTCTTCATACAAGAAGAGGGAGAGGAGGGGTAAAAGCAGTACAAAACTGCTTGACAATGCCCCCTCTTCCTTCAACAGCAACAACAGAGGAAGCTTCCAAAACATTAAAAAAAACAAAAAAAAAACAATGCTCTCAAGAATACATAATCAGACTTCTGATGGAACCACTAGAGTAGGGACTTTTAGCAAACCGTTGCCGTGTTCCATGTAGAGCACTACCAGAGCTTTTGAAACATGCTTTTTAAGCGCGTGCCTCACGGTCATGGTATCACCCGGGCGAGCGCTTCAAAGGCTTCTGTAGTGCGGCACGCGGAACACTTTAACGGTTTGCTAAAAGTTTCGCAAATGCGTTTGTTTTGTGGAGGCTCAAAACAATGAAGGGTGTTAATAGCGCTTTTAAACAATCGATCGTTAACAGTGAATACGTAGACGCCGGAAGGTGGTTCCATTTCAAAGAAGGTTTAGGGACGAATGAATGGTGAAATGCGTTAGTCTTATCCCGGCTTCTTACACCCCATTCCCACCTTTATGATCTGCGGCGAACCAGTTCACGGTCCTCCGCGTGTGGCATGTGCTCGCGAACCAAGAGAGCGGGCTGATTCGTCGATTGCAAAGGTACGTTCTGGTACCTTTAGGTAGCTGAAGGTGTCTTTAAGTACCTAAACGTACCTAAACGTACCTTGAGGCTGGCCGTGTGAATGGGGTATAATACACCACTCACACGGCCGACGCTTCAAAGGCCATATATCTGATGAAAATGCAATTAATGCGAAGGTGCTAGGAGCTGGACAAGAATAACGATAATAAACACTGGAGATGAGGAACAAGGGGGACAACTTTTGACTTGTTGTGTTTGTCCTTTGTCACCCTTTTTTTTCCCCTCTCCGCGGTTTATTATCGTTATCACCATATTTCTGATGTCACTCTAAGGCGGTGACGCTGGTGCTGACGTCACAGCGCTTGCGCAGATGCTTCGCTCTGCGAAAAACTTGTTACTGCGCATGCGCCATGCCCATTGCTCCTGTTTGCAAACGCTTCCGTTTACAGGCGATGGGTTGGCGTATCATCATCATCATTTATTAAGCCTTGAGGACCTTACGGGCATTACACAAGGGGTTAATGGGGTATTGAAACATTGTTAGATAAGGCATATCGGAACAGAAATCAGCACTCAAACAAGCATATAAATAAAAAAAACTATTAGTGCACTTGCAAATGGTTACTTAGATGCGATATGAATGTGGTATCTATCTGGGTCACAATACTGTTAGGCGAGTTATTCCAGTCCGCTATTGTTAACGGCAAAGTGGCGTTAAGAAACGAGACAAATGAAGCGAAGATCGGACGTACACCTTGTGGGGTTTTGCTAGCTACCAACACAGGTGCTGATAGAGTGACCAAAGGATTATCTCAACAGCGGCGGCGATCTCAAAGGAGACGTCAAACCTAGCGCGGTCCCCACATCTCCGTGGCAATGTGGACGACGTTTAGGGCTATTACCGCGGGTCGGTTCGATAAATTACCTCTGTCTGTTCCAATGATCGTCTACCTTGTATCACTTTCTCGATTATAGCGGAAGAGAAGACACACGTACCAGAGTAAGGACAGGGTCCTAGAGCATTTATTAGAACACTCTTAAAATGAACTACAATGTCCCCATCCGAAATGCCCCCCGCGCCGGCAAGGTAAGAAAAAGGTCCTTACCTGCCGGACGCGGGGCTCCGGAGAGCTAAGACCGGGGAAGCATCGGAGAAGTCACCGACACATGTCCTATCGCTTTCGCGGTCACCGGACGAGTCTCTTTCCCGAAAGCGGGAAGACAAGAGGCAAAACCTCCTCGCCTGTCCGCAGTTATCCGCATATCCGCATCCGAGCGGGGGAACGGAAATCGGTCCCCCCGAGAGACAGTGAGAGGAAGGCCCCCCAAGACAGAGGACCCTCCGCCTCACGAACAGGTCGGAGCTCACGGCGAAAGAGGCCGAGCGTTCCGACCCGCGGCCGTTATCACAGCCATCAGGGAAGGGAGACCACAGGAATCCCCACAACCTTTGGGGGCGTTATCAATGCGACGAAATACGCGATTGGGTACCACTTGTTCGCGAATATGTTCTTTTGTGCCACGTTGGAAGCTCAAGCGAGAAAGAAACCTGCATTTGACATGCCTGTGCAGACAATTTATTTGTATTATTATGAAAGCGTTAGTTTTACTTTTGTTCTCAATCGCGTATCACTAGAGCTTGAGCTGGCTTGCTGGAATCAGTGTGTTAGCTGAGACTGCATGTAAAATAAAGCACTGGCGAAGCTATGGCGCAAGAGCGAAGTGGCAGGCGAAGTCGAGTGTTCAAGCGCTTGCGCCCTCCATGCCAGGCTTTCTTTGAAACGGCATTGCCGAACGTTGATTTTCCGCCCATATGTAGCGCTAGCGGTTTGAACCAGATGTCAAAGTGTGATCACTAACCGTTATCTCATTTAAAATATAAGTGATTTTACGAAAATTTCAACGGGGAAATGGGGCCCGTTTTCTACCGTTTTTGGTAACTGGCACCATACTTTCTAAGAAATGCCTGCGTGTCTACTTACTCACAAAACACTTGAAGAGCTAATCATTGCGATCTACAAATTCAGCCCAGCGTATGATAAGGTCCGCCTCATCATTCGCTGAGCTGATTTTCTAGATCGCACAGATTCGCTCTTCGAGTGTTTGCGGGTAAGTATAGACGCGCAGGCATTTGTTAGAGAGTAGAACTCTACGTGTTCGAGCTCTGTAGGCCTCCATTTTCCTACCGAAAATTTAAAAAAAAATCACGTGTAACTTTTGCATGGAATAACGATTAGTACGTGTTGAAACTTTTGCATCTGGTTCAAACCACTAGCGCAAGATTAAGGCGGAGAATGAGAGTTCGGCAAAACGGTAACCGGACAAAAGCTCACCGGACAAAAGCTCACCGGACAGAAGCTCACCGGACAAAAGCTCACCGGACAAAAGCTCACCCGTTTTTTGACAGACCCGGACAAAAGCTCACCCGTTTTTTGACAGACCCGGGCAAAAGCTCACCTCGATTTCTTTTTTTTTTCCTACCCGGGCGAAACACGGGCTGAAATAAAGTGCAGACGCAATGGACATTGAACCATTTTTAGGAGAACTTGTACCTCATCCACCATTGAGTTGCGAATTTTTTAAAAATACTTTGAAAGAACGGGAGTTCGGCCTTTTGGCAAAGTACAAGGCAGATGACCAAACAAAAAAAAAATTGTGCGGGATTTTAGATAGGCTCGGGTTCCTTCCACCACAGCTTGTTCCACAAGAACTAACCACCAGGGAAAAGTCTACCGGTGACATCGCTACCTGCTGAACTATTTTGATTGCACGCATTTCAACGGCCGCTTCCGTTATGCTTCTGTTCCATCTGCGGCGGCACCCAGAGCGAATTCTTCCCTTCGCCTGACTCTGCGCCGACGGCGACCGGAGTTTCCCCCGGTACGGTGGAATATGTACGACACCACTCTTCAAGATAAAGACCGGATGAGCAACACCTGCGAAAGATAGAGTACCGGGTTTCAGAAGCTCGTCCGCCACGCCCATCCAAGCGTCTTGAGGCTGATTGAATGCCTACAGCAAAATCAGGCGCTCGTTGCCACGGCATTGGCAAAAGCCCGGAGAGGTGAGCCCACCGTAAAGCGGGTGCGAAAAATTACTCTGCACCTAGAGAATCGTCTTAGAAATATTTGCAAGGGCTTGCATGTACATCGAGATCTACCAAGACTGCTGGAGCTAGTGTGGGACTGCATTCGCTTCTAACCAATCGATAAATAAACTTGTTTCTAGTAAAATCAACAAACCATGCGCCTGTCAGATTTAATTTATCGTTGCCTTTTTGTGTCGCACGCATGCACCTAAGTTGTCCGCACTCGTGTTAAGACCAACATGAAATTTTCTCGTGGTGAGCTTCTGTCCGGGTCTGTGAAAATATGGGTGAGCTTTTGTCCGGGTCAGTGAAAAAATGGGTGAGCTTTTGTCCGGTGAGCTTTTGTCCGGTGAGTTTCTGTCCGGTGAGCCTTTGTCCGGTGAGCTTTTGTCCGGGATTCCGGCAAAACAGTCTCTTTTTGCAATAAAAAAAAATGGTATTTTTTTTTCTTTTTTTTTACATTTCATAAATAATAAACTTAGTCTAGTACTTTTGATGAATCTTTAACGTGCATCACGCAGGTGATATTAGACACTACTGTTGATCGCCCGTCGCGCACAAGAGTCAATCTCTCTATAGCGTATTTCCGGAAGAAGTTTTCGGACGTAACATCAACTAGTTCAAAGAACGCAGGAAACAAAGTGAAATTTCCATTCTCTTTTCCTTCTCTCTTTTTTTTTTTTTTTTTTTCAGGCAGAGGAGTGACCGAACGCTGGTCTTCTGTCCAGCGGCGACAGACGGCCTCATATCGGACAAGGAGACGGTGCTTGATGCTTGCTAAACGTTCGACACCACGTGCCATAATCACCACAAACTCTATGCAGACACGTTCATGGGGGCAGGTGTCCTCAAGTCTGGCGACGAGATGTTTTGGGTCCTCATATGGTTCCTATATGTGTGACATCACGACCGGATAATGCACGGTGTAAGCTTCGAGTCATCCAGCATCAACAAAGTTGACAGTCTCAAATTGCTCTCATTTTCATTAATAAAAGTTGAATTCATCATACCCAAGTTAGCTTTTGACCAACTCGAGTATGATGAACTCCTACCTGTGATGAATTCATTCCTGTGGTCGGCTTCGGCCTTTGGCCTAGGCCGACCAGCGATACTTTTGGTCACACGCTCAGTGTCGGCCTGGATTCCAACGATCGTGCTTGCATGAACCCAGTGGCGTAGGCAGGAAAGGGGGGAGGGGAGATGGAACCCCCCCCCCCCATGAAATGCTCAAGTTACCCCCCGGTGCCCATTGGGCCAACACATTGAGCCCGCTCGCCACCCTGCTCAGGCAGTCGGTCTTGCACGGGGCACGGAGCAAAGGGGGAGCGCAGACTATCTTTCGGGAGGAATGTTTGTGGGGTAGAAAATGCTCAAATAAATAAATAGGCAATATTTCTTCATTCATGCTTATATGATGGGATGCGGAACTTGATCTCAGATATATAGAGAACGGATATTTCGAAACAATTGTGGGGTGAAGGATGGCGATTTCAAGGCAAAGTATAACAAACTATCCTCACTGAAAAACATAGTTCAATGAAACTACAGTGGACATAATAAAACGCACACATGGTGATAATATAAAACAATGTCAGTGATGTAAGGAATAATAAATGATTTGTAAAAAAACAATTGCTCTCTAAGCAACAGGTTGAGCACGCACACCTTGTGTACTGATCGGAATTACGTTCTTTCGACTAGAAATTACCGCAAAAAAAAAAAGTAATTGCGACTAGTTATTTCAGAAAGCAATTTGCAGGCTCTCTTGATCATTTCATTTATGCCGAACGCCTACATATTAAGATGCAGCCACCTGCGTTCACGGCAAAGAAAAAATAGGATGTCCACAGCTTGAACTTCAATGTTGCGGTGAACATTCAAAAGCACTAGACCTAGCAGCCGCTCATTCGAAGTGGACGCTCTCAGGTGTGTTTTCAACCGTCGTAGTGGAGAGAGCGAGCGCTCAGCTTCTGCCGTTGTTACGCGCAGAGTCGCTATAGGGTTTTGAGGAGACGATAGACGTTTGGAAACAGGGCCTTCGGACAGAGGGCGACCGCCTGTAGCGCAGACGCGACGAGCATTTCATGTTTTACCCTCTTTCATTGGACGCCTAAAATTTCCCCATTTTTGGCGAAGGTTCCCCTCACTTCGTGAAATTTCCCTCCATCGAGACGCCCGTCTCGATGGTCCCTCACGGATGCGATGAAGTCCGTCTTGCTTTCTTCTTTGCATGTCGAGGTGGCGTCCGACGCAATTCGTTATTAGATTGATCTTCTAGTTGCACAGAACATCAGAAACTCAGAAGAGCCTTCATATTCTCACTACGCATAGGCGCAAGGGTATTCAAGTTCGTTTCTACGTTCGGCGTGTGGTTTGCGTGTTTGTGTGTGGTGTGTGATGTCACTTCTCCGAGTGACGGAACGACAAGTTCGGACTGACGACTTTTCATCGCCCCGAGGATATGCCGCTGCTGCCTTTGGACCACACTGCAAGATACAGCGGCCTAGCAAAAATAAGACTTTCTTTCCTTCGGCATCTTGTTCTGTAGATTTGGGTTTTGTGGTTGTTCAGAATTACACTCGCCCTATATATCGGCCCCTACACTCTTAGAAAAAAGGGTCAGTATAGTCCTCCCTAAAGGGAGGAACGCTCTTGACACATATGTTCCTTCAGAAAGGGAGAAACTTTTTAAGCAGGGGAGGAAAAGTTCCTCCGTCGACTGCATCTCATTATGGCGGCCACGAATCGAGCAAATCGAGCTCGGTAAGGCTTAACGAGAACACTAAGTCTATTGCACGAAGCGAGAGGAGCGGGAAATAAAAACGTAACACGAGCTTTCCGCGAACTGTATTTATTTCCGAAGTTTCTTTACCCCTGCAGGTAAAGAAACTTACGTTTCGAAAGCATGCAGTCACTCAGTCTTCTCATCGTCAGCACTGCGATGTTCAACGGAGACAACCGGCACTCAGTTCGCGCACTTTATGTCCTACCTTTGCTATTCCTCGAGCCACAATTCCTTCGTCAACCGTTGCGTCAACCGCACATCACGGAGGAGTGAAAATCATTCGCCCGCAAAACCAAAAGCCGCTCTCAAAAAAAAAAGCAACTCCGAAGCAACCTCTTGGCTTATCTCAGCACGGTAACACGAAATTATGGCGTAGCTGGCGTAGCCGCGTAGCGTAAAAGGATGTTAAATCGCTTGCCACCAGATGGCAGGGTCAAGCAGAGTAAACGCACGTAGCTAGGCTAGGTGGCGCTAGGTACCGCCCAATTCATGTTTTACAAAAAAATATTTTTACTCCTTACGCCACAATTGCGTTTCCTTTTCTTCGGAATCTCTAACACATGTAGACACCTTGCGCACACTACAAACATCAGGTCAACATATATTGAACGCATACAAAGGCATCGCACATACAAACATCAACACAACAACACACTACCCCGATCACTACTACCGAGCCCTTCGTTTCCGTCTTTTATAGTGGTCGTTTTGAACGTACGGAATTTTTCGGTGACTCCCTAAGCAAAAAAAAATATTCCGAACATGTTCATTTTTTTCCAGCAATGTCATACATCTGAGGCTATTTTTAATGGCTCAGGGGATGAATCTCTTATTAAAAAGAAGACGCTCGATCATGCCATAATTATTTGAAAGCCAATAAATCGAGCCGCTCCAATGTGGTTCCAAGCCATGAGTTTGTTTTCCCGCATGGCCCTTCGTAGCCAGTATTTATATTGTAGTGTTCGTTTTTCTATTTGTGCTGTTCGCGCAAAGCTGCAATTGCCGTCTTGAATTAATCTCTGTAGAGCGGATATCCACTCAGCTGGAAGTGATGCTTTACGGGCACAGAAATCGCTTTTCGATCAACTTGAATGCAGTCAAAGCCGCGACTTGCGACAACTGTTAAGTGTACGGAGCTGCGCCGTTGCGAGCTCGAAAACTTCTAGCGCTCATCCCAGCGCGCCACTTAGAGGGCAGTTTCTACAGGAACCGTAATATATTTAAACAGTAAAATAAAGGATAGCGTTTTTTGTTTTTTTTTTCGATTTTGCCTGTCTTTTTTTTTTTATGCTAAACTTCCATTATAAATATACGTACTTTCCGTCATACTTTCGTAGTGTTGTCTTTTCCCCAGAGCGCAATCGCTCTCGGGGACCGACAGTCACATTGGCCACTGTACGATAGCAGCTTACCGTTCAGACCAGCGTTCCAACATGACTATCCACACGTCGATCGACTGCACCTAAACCCTCAAGTGGTTTTAAACTCTTTAATGTAAAGCGGAATGTCATCCTGCGACACCCCGGCCCCTCCGATAACGGCCCGACCAGCGGCATCAATGCCCGACAGTTTACGTCATCTCATCTTGTTGTTACACCACTGATACGCGAACACACGGTCACATCGGCGATAATTCCAGACTTCTGTTCACAACCCACAACACTGCCATCACGATGTCGCTGACACGAAGAAATACAGAACCACGTTGACGATGCTGCTGACACGCAGAAGAATCACGTTGAACGCCGGTTGGCACTCGGCACGGGACAACGGAACCGAACTCAGCACGGAAGGCACCCAGGCAGCCGGCAGGAAAACCTGCCTTCCTTGGACGCAGTTCCCGCGATTTCCATAACGTCGAAAACGTCGAAACAGTTCCTCGTGGTTTCGCTGCTGTAGTTCTGCGTGTGTCCCGCAAATTGGAGACGGCCGTCTTACCCAGTGTATGTAGCGCTGCTGGCACTGCTCCGGAACTTCGCTGTTTCTAGCGGCTTCGTTAGCTCGTTTGATAAAATTAGTGGTAAAAACGTCAATGCAACAGAAATGTTCTGCACGTTTGGACTAGAAGACGGAATTACAGGCGGCCTTCGCTGCCGCTGAAGCTCAATGAACTCAACATTAATTTATTAAACAACGTGCGCGATGTGCTCGAAAAACGAAACCGAAAGAAGATGGGTCGGGAGGGCGAAAGCTTTCTCCGGTCTGCCTGGAGGAGGAAAACGTCTCGGAGAATAATAAGGACTTTAATTTTCCTTTCATCGGTCTGGGTTTGTTTATGTGTGTTTTGGTAAGCAAAAATTAAAAGAAAAACTTTACGAAAAAAAAAAAAAAAAAAAAAAAAAAAAAAACCCACTTTTCTGGGGATCGAACCGTTGACCACTTGGTCAGTAGCGCGATGTTCTACCCCTGCGCCAACTGAACAAGGAGGAACTCGCGCTCCTCCTTCCATCTGAACTGCCGTTCCTCCCTTCTCTGGGCAACTTGTCCGCAACAAGGAGGAACGGTCGCTTTTGCTACCTTTCTCCTCTCTTTTTTCTTAGAGTGTAGTGTTTGTGCGAGGACGGTTGCTCTAATTTTCAGCGTCAAGATTTTTTTTTTTTTTTGCTGCCTAATTTTTTGTGACAGTATAGCCTGTTGGTAACAGTCAGGCGGCGCCAGTAGAGTGAGAGGCCTAAGGTTATACTCTGCCTCGGTGTAACTTGGCAAAGGGTGTACGATAAGCCCCCCATTGCATGCCGGCGGCTTCCGATATCCGCTACGTATACGAGCGCAACGCACACATATTGGAGCTTGACGAGGCGAAAATGCACTTCAAGTAAAGTATTGTTTCCTAAACCTACTCGAAGTAGTACTTTAAGTACAATGTACTTAAAGCACTCTCCAACACTGGGAAGCACTGGTAAGGACCACATGCTCGCGCTTTCAGCATTTGCTGCGTCTGGATTTGAAGGGGCCCTGCAAAGCGCTTCTGGCCATTTTTTTTTTTTTTTTTTAATTTGCATTACGGTCGCTCTAACTACCGAGTGTGACCCTAGCAACACATTAAACATAAAATAAAAAAATCGGACGTATTTCGAACATAATAGGTGAAATAGGTTAGAATTTTGAGCACATCTTTTGCTGACGACGTTATTGGTCTGAGCCAATAGAGAACCTAAACGACAAAAGCGTGCAACAACCATGTGCGATCTTCTTAAATGTTGGAAATTAACGTCTAGTTATGAAGATGTGAAGGCCCCAAAAATTTACAGGTGTTCCAAACAAAAGCTTGAG